GCCAGCATTCAGGACCCAAACATCTGCGTGCTTGAGCAGGGCGTCGTACGAGAGGAAGTCGACGACCTTGGTGTTGGCCGGAATCGTGAGCTCCTCGGGAAGTGTCGCACCCTTGACACCCAAGATGGCAACGAGAATGATATCATCGCGGTGAGCCAGACCTTGTATCGTGGGGATGATGAGATCCGTGTAATCGATAGCGATGGTACCCTGAGCAACTCCCACAACCTTCTTGTTTCCGGCCGTGATTTCACCCCACCATTCTGGGTACTTGTAGTTCGGGTCGATGGGCTTGGGCGGTAAACATCCCGCGTACTTGATGACATCGGGGAGATCCGATCTGGGGTACTCGAGGCTGGGCGAGCACATTTGCAGGGTAACGTCGTAGCTAGTTTGCCACGATTCGAACAAGGCTGGTGGCAGCTCGCGCGTACCGCCGAGCGCCTTGACGACGTCGTTGTACTCCTTTGCTGCCGCACCAAAGGGGCCCATCGGGCTAAAGAACATCTCATTGAGGAGCTTGTTCCGCCCGCGGCCGGACTCGGTCGAGTCGGGGGGCAGACCGGGTCCGAACGGCGCAGTGTCAATGCTCGTGGTCACGACGGGGACAATGTTGATGTCGACGACGGGCGGTCTCGTGGTGTATCCCTTAGGTAGAGGCGTGCCGTACATCATAGGGGCAAGACCCATGTAGAACGTCTCGTGGACAATGACGACTTGCTTGTCGGGATGCTCCACGCGGATCTTCTCGAGGGTATCCATCAGGACATGGAAGTGAGGCGTCACAGCCTTGATGAAGACGTTGCTTAGGTCGTACATCAGGCGGGGTATGCCAACAGGAATCTTTTCGCGAATGGCTTGCTCTTCGGGGTTCAACATGGGCGGAATGCTAACATGCTGGGCACCGATGCGCTTGACTTGAGGGTGGAATTCTTCGCCGGCGATGAATGTGCCTTCGAAACCGCGTTGGATCATCTCATCGGCAACCTGAAGGAGGGGATAGGTGTGTCCCGTTGCTGGTGCCGCACAGAAGAGAAGGTAAGGCCGCTTCTTGTTGCCGTCGCTGACACCATTGTTGGCCGCTGCTTCGGCAGCCTGAGCTATAGAGTCTGCTGACAGTGTCATGATCTCAGTACTTTGTCTCTTTCAAGAGATTCTTGGGGTGAGTAAATAGATGCTCGAATCGTTACTTAAGAGCAGAGAGAAGGATGACATCAAGATGAGCGGCAGCACCCAGTGATTTATACATGTATGAATAAGAGAATCTCTAGGGAAGACGCAGTACGCGGGGAGCTTCAACTCGATGCGGTCACTCATCTCGGTGAAATTTCCATCCGTACGCGCGCCGTTGGATCGAATAGTCGCCGGCTTCATTGCGTTCAACGCTGCATCGGGCCGCATTGCGAAAGGGAAATCTGACAGCAGATTTTAGTACGTCAAACGGCCCTATCCTGCCTGTCTCTAAGCCTCAAGCTTGTTGTATGGGGCCATCAAAGAGCCAGTCAGCATGCACTAGTCGTATATCGTACACCAGTGTGCGTAAGGCAGCGAGTCATTGTGAGATGCTGCACAACCTCTGTGTCCACGTGAAGAGGAGTCGAATGGGCATGTTGTAGGGTCTTACCGGCGGTATTGAAGCCCATTGGTGTCATACTCTGATTATCGACGGTCCACGTCTCTACAGCGCGATGAGAAAGGACACTGCAGGATCAGGGTCCTTGCAGCCAAGTCTCAGCCCGTCAGCGCGACGTCTAGAACGAACGAGCTAGTGTGGCCATGGATTGAGGCTAACGGTGCTAGCATCGTGGATGATGTAAGTCGGCGGATTGGCTTCGTTCTGTAGCTTCAGGCTCCAGTCTTGCGGCTACCCGAGTGCCGAGCTTTGAGCCATCGCCGGAAAGGTCCTGACATGGCAGATCAGCTTCTCTTGAAAATGCTCTTAGCCACCTGAGATCATCGGATGACAGGGCCCAAGGGGCATCTGCCATCACCGGTAGAGAGTCTACCGGCAAAGAGGGGCCCGGCATGGATAAGTGCTTAAAAAGAAACGTTCATATGTGAGGTGGGGGTTGACGCGTGGTTCGTCGTCAGACCATAAGGGAGGCTTCACGATCGAGATGTATTGACAATCCTAGGTATATCACATATCGAAAGACGAAATACTCTGGACAACAGCCTGCTGCCTTGTACGCGCTTCACAAGTTTGTCAGCCTTTGCGATTGCGAGATCTCGAAGAAGAGTAAAGTAGAGAGAAGGGCTAGTAGTAAGATGGCGGCGCATGCAGGTAAGCTGACGCTCTGATATCCTGCTACTTGCGAGAGTCTCATTGGCGCTCTTGGGAGTTTGATGGATTCTCGATGATCTAGAAGACGATGCGAGCCATTGATGGGGCCCTTGCGAGCGAAAGATCAAACCTGTGCGACAAATAATGTCAATAGTGAAAGTGTTGACAGTTTGATTTGTGTTCGTCTCTTCGTGAGGTTCTATTGTCTTGGCCATTGGACCACAGAGGCCTGTAACGTTTCCTTAGCCTCACACAATGCGGATGAAGCGTTCCCGGATGATGAAGAATGAGCTGATGGACGTCGTTGATCAACACTGCATCGGCGTCGGCAAACAGCAAAAGGCCGCGCGGGGACGACGCTCTCGCGCGCGCGGGATGATCCCCAAGCAAGGAATGTCGTATCGTTATTAATGGGTCTCGGCCGTTATGTCTCGTCCGCTTTGCTGGACCATTCTCGATGCTTGATCAAATGTCTTGGTTCGCGCGCGCGAGACCTGACCAAAGGGACTCTGCATGTCCCCCCATCACCGTTATTGTTCTCGAAACCATTGAATGTTCCGATATTTCCATATCCTTTTAAGATCCCAAACGCCCCACCAAAAGATGTAATGCATGCTGCAGCCGCCCGATGCTGCTTTACGTGAGGCCTGGTCAAGCAGTCCCTTTTCCTTTGCGATCGCCTGTCCGGGCGAACAGGTCCTTGAAGCTCCAGTGCCTCCTGTCTGAATCGTCTGATGGTCCGGATGAAGGAAATATGGAGAATCGAGAGGATGACGAGCTTGACTTGGCTGAGCCGTAGACTTCGGTCGGTCGCCCTGGCAAAAGAGCAGTTAGAATTGTGTTCAAAAACGCAACGCAGGAGACCAAGGTGGCATCAAACTTACTAATGTTTCCAGCCCCTCCAATCCCGTATCCTCGAAATTGGCGGTCTCTCACCGCAGTCTCCTTGACATCGTCCTCCTCTGTGTCGCTGCTCGCATTATCCAAGCTCTTCCTCCTCCGCACTGGTGCCACTGTGCTCCCAGCTACGCCCGACTCGAACTTTGCGCTCGCTGGGCCCCCCGACCCGTTGCCGACAACTGGCGAGGGCAGCTCCGGGGCCACTGACGGCGTGGGTCGCAGATTCACTGTGGACACGCTGCGAACGACAGCGAGTCGGCCCTGAACGCGGACGCGGTGTCGGCGCTTCTTCGTGGGGATGAGCTGGTCTGACTCCGGGTCGGGTTCCCCCGCGTCGTCTTGGGAGTATCGGTGCTGGTTCGAGAAGGGAAGCATCGTGGGAATTTGGTGAAGCGAGTCGAATTAGGGGTAAGATCGGCGAAAAGAGGTTTGTCGTGGTTTAAGGTTGCGGTGTGATAACGCAGTGCTCTGGCCAGCTTCCGCCGGGATGGACACGAACAATTAGGGGGCCCCCTGGACAGGAGAACTGAAGTAACGCAATTGAAATGTAGAAACAAGAATCAAAACAGCGGCTGGGTTTGAATGAATGGACGCAACGAGGTGACAAATTCTCGTCGCACGGGAAGCGGGCGTGGCGAGGAACTATTTCATCAGCTCGCAGCTCAGGGACAGTATATACACACAATATTCACAAGCAAGGTAGAGGAAGAGAGCAAAGGAATGAACTAGGGCGTCGCATCATGAGCGGCAGGAAAGGTAGAAAGGGGGACCAACGCCCATATGTTCGCCCCCAGACGAACGCCTCAGCCCAGTCCAGCCAACACGAACTCGCCCTAAGCTAAGCACCAGCTGTTTTAATGACTACTAGGTAGATAAGAAGACGGCGTGCTTGGGGTTGATTGCGCCGCTTTGCCATAGTCACTATGCTGATTTCCTTCTGTCAAAGCTTCTAGCAATCAAATCTGGGCTCCTTCGCCTTCCTTCAGTGTTCGGGGGCGGACGAAGCAAAAGGCCCCCGCCCCCCCCCCCCCCGCCCTCATTAACTCATTAAACCTTGCATTGGCGCAAACCCCTGGCAGAAATGGGGGCTACGCTGCAAAGGAGTCCAAAGCAAGGAATTTTGGGGTGACATCGCCGGGGAACCAACCCGGATTTGCACCAGGGCCCGTCTCCCGCCCCGACCAGGTTGCCGGCTGCTTCGGATTCTAAGATTTCAAGGGATTCTGCTTGTTTTGTTTTTTATCTATTTCGCTCTGGTTCAGATCTATCCGTGTTTCTGGTTGTTCATGGAGAAAATACCATCTGACAGAAAGGTTGCGCCGTGAGCCCAAAACAAAGGAAGCCCTGCAAGTGAGATCGATCAAACGTTGCACCAACAGCCACAAACAGCTAGGCTCAGCAGTAACCCATAAGAGATTAGTTCTCACCTCACAGCCATAGTCTATGGAATAGCATTCGATGGCGCCTTGAAGCTCTGTAGATCGCATCCGGGACACGGCTTTTCGAGTGGTTGTCAGGTTTTCTCATCTCAATTTGCAGTTTTGTCATAATGATTTAGGTGAGCTCTGGTTTGGTGAACAAAGGAAGGTATTATTGATATTACGTATTACATGATTATCAGTCTTGTGTTCGCTTAAGAAACGTCCTGCATCGCGACTTGCGCAGAAGAAACCAGCGAGTTTCTGAACAAAGAAAGGCTAGAGGTGAGATAACTATAGTAGACAATTTTATGGTGTGTTTTTTTGCCGCAACGCCATTAAACATAGGAAAACCCGACAGAAAGAAAGGAAAGAGTGCTGTAGAAGCATTTTTCGGACTATTTGGCGGCCACGTTCACCGTGGCGACGCCAAAGAGGCGCAAGTTCAGGCAAGCCACAATGTTCGGGCCCGTCAAGGACAGGTTCAAACAATCCGAGGCGATGCCGTTGGATAAGAGGCCGAGCGAAGTCACGCAAGAGATGAGGTTTGGTGCGCTGACTGTCACTGCCACGCCACCAGTCGCGTCGACGCCCAGGTTGACACAGCTCTGCGGTAGCGACGTGATACACTGCGAAGCCAGCGAGTTCTGGATACATTGAGCGTACGACTGTGTCTGGGCTCCGAGGAGACTGCCCACCAGGCCGGTAACGCTGCCGAGGGTACAGCCCAAACCGGAAGCCAAATTTGATACCGTGTTTCCCAAGGCGCTGACGACGAGGCCAGCCTGGCAGAGATTGAGGTTGGCATTGATTTCCGACGTGGAGAGTGTGACATCCAGGAGAGCACCGCAGGCTGCCGGAGCGCGGGCGCAGGCTGTGCCGGAAGGACACAATACCGTGCTCGCCAATCCGGCGACTGTTTGACCGACTGGTAGTCCGAGAGCTCGTTCGAAACAGTTGAGAACGGCCGCGCCTCCTTGGTTGGTGACGCTGGATATGATACAGTTGCCTGCTGTCGTGATGGAACCAAAGGCTCCAAGGTTGGCGAAGCATAGAGCGGCGTTGGTCTGGACATTGGCGAGCGTCTGGCTGGATGCCGCCAGGTTGGCGCAGATTGATGGAAGCCTCGTGAGACAGGTACCCGCCAGAGCAGTCTGGATACATCTGACGTGGTTGTATCCCAGGATGTTTCCTAACAGAGCAACTTGTTGCAAGTTGAGACAGTTGCTGACGGTTCCAATGTTGGCGGTCGCGCCCAAAGCTGCAGTACAAAGATCGAGCGTCGACTGAGAGTATGATTGCAAGATGACACCCGTGAGACTGGCGCAAGCAGAAGGCAAAGTGATTGCGGATCCAGTTGATGGTAGACAAGTCGGGGCTGCGACACCCGTAGGCGTCGGGACACAGCCGGATGGTGCGTATGAGCTGGTGACGACACGGCTTGCCGATGCGAGTGCCGTCTGCTGCAGGACTGTGTTTCCAACAGTCGTGGTCCGCGTGCCTGTGAAGGCACCAGTGACTCCCGTGAGGATTGTGGTGTACGATGTGCTTGAGGGGAGGGCGGTCTGCTGGACGACCGTGTTACCAATGGTGGTGACTTGAGTGCCAGTAAAGGTGCCGATCACACCGGTGACCACCGTTGTGTAAGAGACTGGAGGAATGGCCGTCTGTTGAAGGACGGTGTTACCGATGGTCGTGACTGCAGTTCCGGTAAAGGTGCCCGAGACTCCCGTGAGGATTGTGGTATACGGCACGGCAGTCTGAGCGAGGACCGTCCTCGTTGCTCCGGAGCCCGCGAGGGTAGTAAGAGAGGTTCCGGCAAACGTGCCCGGAACACCAGTGGGTACCGTATTGTAGAAGACCTGCGGCAGAGCCGTCTGGGCGATGACTGTATTACCGATAGTAGACAGAGAGGTTCCGGTAAAGGTTCCAGTAACTCCCGTGACGACTGTGGTGTAGGGAATGGCTGTCTGGGCAACGACTGTCTGAGTAGCCCCAGAGCCCGAGAGAGTGACCAAAGACGTTCCGGCAAAGGTGCCCGGCACGCCTGACGGGATGGTCGTGTAGAAGATCTGAGGCAGGGCTGTCTGAGCGAGAACCGTGTTTCCGATCGTAGACAGGGAAGTTCCGGTAAAGGTGCCAGAAACTCCAGTGAGGACCGTCGTATACGGAATGGCGGTCTCTGCCACGACAGTTCGGGTGGCTCCGGTTCCGGAGAGAGTGACCAGCTGAGTACCGGCAAAGGTGCCTGCGACTCCCGAGGCGACCGTGGTATAGAAGATCTGTGGCAAGGCTGTTTGGGCAAGCACCGTGGCCACGCTTCCGACGGCGGGAAGCGTTGATAGCTGCGTTCCCGTGAAGGTGCCGGTGACTCCCGTGGGTACGGTAACGTACGAAACCACAGGCAAGGCCGTTTGAGCGAGAACGGTCGCGACGCTTCCGACGGCGGGCAAAGTAGACAACTGCGTTCCAGTAAAGGTACCAGTGACGCCAGTAGGAACAGTAACGTAGGAAACGACGGGCAAGGCTGTTTGAGCCAACACTGTAGCCACACTGCCGACAGCGGGGAGGGTCGAGAACTGGGTTCCGGTGAAGGTGCCAGTGACGCCTGTAGGCACCGTGACATACGATACCACAGGCAAGGCTGTCTGAGCAAGAACAGTGGCAACGCTGCCAACAGCCGGGAGGGTTGAGAACAGCGTGCCAGTAAAGGTGCCTGTGACTCCTGTTGGAACAGTCACGTACGAGACAACTGGAAGAGCTGTCTGCGCCAGTACCGTGGCCACGCTTCCAACGGCTGGCAACGTCGACAAACGGGTGCCTGTGAACGTGCCAGTAACGCCAGTCGGGACGGTTGTATACGAGATAACTGGGAGAGCGGTCTGTGCCAATACGGTGGCCACACTGCCAACGGCGGGCAAGGTTGAGAATTGCGTGCCCGTAAAACTGCCAGTAACTCCCGTCGGGACGGTGATGTAGGAGATGACTGGGAGAGCGGTCTGCGCCAAGACGGTTCCGATAGTTCCAGAGACTGGCAAAGTTGACAGTTGGGTACCCGTGAAGGTTCCAGTAACGCCAGTAGGGATCGTGAGATACGAGATGGAGGGGAGGGCGGTCTGGGCAAGGACAGTTCCGATCGTGCCGGTAACAGGCAAGGTCGAAAGCTGCGTGCCGGCGAATGTTCCAGTAACACCAGTCGGGATAGTGATGTACGAGATGGATGGCAGAGCAGTCTGGGCGAGAACGGTTCCAACGGTACCAGAGACTGGCAAGGTAGAAAGTTGAGTGCCCGCAAAGGTTCCGGTAACGCCAGTTGAGATGGTGATGTATGAGACCGAAGGTAGAGCAGTCTGTGCCAACACTGTTCCAATGGTGCCAGTGACGGGCAAAGTCGATAGCTGAGTGCCAGCAAAGGTTCCGGTCACGCCAGTTGGGATCGTGATGTACGAAATCACAGGCAATGCGGTCTCCAGAAGTACCGTCGCAATGGATCCCGTGATCGGTAACGTGGTTGTCTGAGTGCCGGTGAATGTTCCTGTAACTCCAGTAGGAATCGTGATGTACGAGATGACCGGGAGGGCCGTCTGCGCGAGCACAGTACCAACGGTGCCAGTGACTGGAAGGGTGCTGAGACGGGTTCCTGTAAAGGTTCCGGTCGCTCCAGTGGGAATCGTCACGTAAGAAATGACTGGGAGAGCAGTCTCCAGGTAGACGGTGCCAACAGTCTGGCCTGGACCAGTGGTAGGCAAAGTGACTGTAGAGGTGCCTGTGAATGTGCCAGTAACCCCAGTGGGGATGGTGATGTACGAAATGGCTGGGATAGCGGTCTCGAGAACGACTGTGCCGATGCTCTGGCCGGCTCCCGTCGTGGGAAGCGTGACAGTCTGAGTACCGGTAAAGCTGCCGACCACTCCGCTCGTGACAGTGATGTACGAGATGGCCGGAATGGCAGTCTGAAGGACAACAGTAGCGATGCTCTGTCCGGCTCCGGTGGTAGGGAGAGTGACGGTTTGAGTGCCTGTGAAGCTGCCCACGATGCCACTGGTGACGGTGACGTAGGAAATGGGCCGGATGGCCGTCTCCAACAACACGGTGCCGACGCTTCCGGTAGCCGGGAGGGTGGTTACCGAGGTGCCGGTGAAAGTACCAATGACACCAGTGATGATAGTCGTGTAAGAGACAATGACGGAGCTGGGAATAGCGGTCTGAAGAACGACGGTTCCAAGGCCTCCTCCAACAGCCGGCAAGGTGGTTGTCTGAGTGCCGGTAAAGCTGCCAGTAATTCCACTGGTGACGGTGAGGTATCCAGTGGGCAGGGCGGTCTGAAGCAGGACGGTTCCGAGACCGCTGACGGCCGGAATCGTCGACGTCTGGGTGCCAAGGAAGTTGCCCGCGACTCCGGTGAGGAGAGTCGTGTACGAGATCGGGATCGCGGTCTGAAGCAGTACCGTACCGATGGTTCCAGTAGCTGGTAGGGTGGTCGCCGAAGTTCCAAGGAAGGTTCCGAAGACGCCAGTGACGATGGTTGTGTAAGACGTGGCTGGTGGTACGGCCGTCTGCAGAATAACAGTGCCAAGAGTTCCCGTGACTGGAAGAGTCGTAGTCTGGGTGCCTGTAAAGGTGCCAACGATGCCGGACAGGATGGTGGTGTATCCAGTGGACAAGGCAGGAATTGCAGTCTGTTGAAGAACGGTTCCGATCGTGCCTGTGACGGGGAGAGTAGAGAGCTGGGTGCCGAGGAACGTGGCTCCCAGAACTCCAGTAGGAATGGTGATGTATGAGGTGACGGGGTTGGGAATGGCAGTCTGTTGCAGAACCGTACCAATAGTGCCCGTGACAGGCAGGGTCGACAGTTGGGTTCCGAGGAATGTTGCTCCCAGAACTCCCGTGGGAATCGTAACATAAGATGTGACGGGATTGGGAATGGCCGTCTGTTGAAGGACGGTGCCAACGGTTCCAGTGACTGGAAGAGTAGAGAGCTGAGTTCCAAGGAACGTGGCTCCCAGAACTCCAGTTGGGATTGTGATATAGGAAGTCACGAGAGGAATGGCGGTTTGTTGAAGAACAGTTCCAATCGTGCCAGTAACAGGAAGCGTAGAAAGTTGCGTTCCAAGGAACGTGGCTCCCAGGATTCCGGTCGGTACCGTGATGTACGAAGTGGCAGCGGGCAGAGCCGTCTGTTGCAACACAGTTCCAATCGTGCCGGTAACGGGCAAAGTCGAAAGCTGGATACCCGTGAAGGTAGCTCCCGCGATGCCAGTAGGAATCGTGATGTACGAAGTTGCTGCCGGAAGGGCTGTCTGCTGGAGCACGGTGCCGATGGTTCCAGTAACCGGCAGTGTCGTGAGTTGAATGCCGGTGAAGGTGCCACCGATGACTCCAGTTGGGATCGTGATGTATGAGGTGGCAGCCGGAAGAGCAGTCTGTTGAAGGACCGTACCGATGGTGCCGGTGACGGGCAAAGTGGAAAGCTGGATGCCAGTGAATGTAGCCCCAATAACTCCGGTGGGAATCGTGATGTATGAAGTAGCCGCCGGCAGAGCTGTTTGTTGAAGTACAGTTCCGATAGTTCCCGTGACTGGAAGAGTAGATAGCTGGATGCCGGTGAATGTGGCGCCAGCGACTCCCGTGGGAATCGTAATGTACGAGGTGGCAGCTGGAATGGCCGTCTCCAACAAAACGGTTCCAATGCTTCCCGTAACTGGAAGAGTTGTGGCGCGGGTGCCGACAAATGTCTCGCCAGCGATGCCAGTGAGAATAGTCGTGTAGGAAGTTGTCGGGACGTCCGGAATAGCCGTCTCCAAAAGGACAGTTCCAAGGGTACCGATGACAGGCAGAGTGGTCGCCCTTGTACCAGGGAAGCTGGTTCCGGTGACGCCAGTGAGGATCGTGGTGTACGAAGTCGTGCCGGGGCTCGGGATTGCTGTCTGGAGGACGACAGTGACGAGTCCGGGGGCTGTGGCGGCGGCAGGCAAAGTAGTTGTCTGGGTTCCTGCAAACGTACCAAAGATGCCAGTGACAATGGTGACGTAGGAAGTATTGATCACGATGACCGAAGAGCTTGAAGACGTGCTGCTGACCGATGGGAGAGCAGTCTGGATGAGAACGGTCGCCACGTTCCCCGTGCCAACGATGGGAAGAGTGGTTGTCTGGGATCCAGCAAAGTTGCCCGGGATGCCTGTGAGAAGCGTGGTGTAGGAGATGGCGGGCAGTGCAGTCTGTAGGACGACAGTTGCCAAGCCGTTGGAACCGACAACAGGCAAAGTGCTGGTCTGGGTTCCGATGAACGTTCCAGGGATACCCGTGAGGACGGTAGTGTACGAGACGCTCGGAAGTGCAGTCTGGAGGAGAACAGTGGCCACATTTCCGGTGCCGACGACGGGTAGGGTAGTCGTCTGGGTGCCAAAGAAGCTTCCAGCGATGCCGGTGACCAAAGTCGTGTATGACAGACTTGTGGTGGGAATCGGGGTCTGCAGAACAACAGTTCCGAGGCCGTCGATTCCAGTGCCAGGCAGAGTGGTAGTCTGGGTTCCGGTAAAGGTGCCAACGATTCCACTGAAGATCGTAGTGTACGAGGTAGCGGCAGGGAGAGCAGTCTGGAGAACAACTGTTCCAAGGCCGTTGGCGCCGGTGCCAGGGAGGGTGGAAGTCTGCGTGCCGATGAAAGTGCCTGGGACGCCCGTGATGATTGTGGTGTAGGAAACCGCAGTTGTTGACGGGACGGCCGTTTGCAAGACAACAGTTCCAAGACCGTTGGTGCCGACCCCAGGAAGGGTAGTTGTCTGGGTTCCAGTGAAAGTGCCAAAGACACCACTGAAGATGGTCGTGTATGAGGTGATGGCGGGAAGGGCAGTCTGGAGGACCACGGTAGCCAGGCCGTCCGGACCAACACCGGGGAGGGTAGTGGTCTGGGTGCCGGTGAAGCTGCCGGGAACGCCGGAGACGATGGTCGTGTACGATTGCACAGCCGATGTGGGAATGGCGGTCTGCAAGACGACGGTAGCCGTGATACCGATGCCGATGCCGACTCCGATGGACGGAATGGGCAGGGTGCTTGTCTGAGTGCCAGTGAAGGTTCCCAAGATACCAGTGACAATGGTGATGTACGTGATGCTGACGCTGCTTGTAGGCGACGAGGTGGCAGAAGGAAGAGCGGTCTGCAAGAGAACCGTTCCGACGCTGCCAGAGATAATTGGCAGCGTGGTCGCCTGCGTACCGATGAAAGTTCCCGGAATTCCAGTCAACAATGTGACGTAGGAGAGAACTGGGCTCGGAGTTGCGAGAGCGGTCTCCAAGAGAACGGTGCCAACAGTTCCGGTGACAATGGGGAGCGTAGTCGTCTGGGTACCTGTGAAGATGCCAGGGACTCCAGTCAGGATTGTGGTGTAGGTGACACCAGCGCCGCTCGAAGTCGGCGTGGGAACGGCGGTCTGGAGAATAACGGTGCCAACTCCGTTGGTTCCCGCGGGAAGTGTCGAGGCCAAGGTGCCGGCAAAAGTACCCGGGATGCCCGTGACGATGGTGACATATGAAGCAGCTTGGACTGTGGGAATAGCGGTCTGAATGATGACCGTGGCAAGACCATCAGAACCAGCCGGGAGCGTGGTAGTCTGCGCGCCCAAGAAAGTTCCTGGTACCCCGGAGAGCAAGGTGGTGTATGAGGCGGGGCTTGCTGTTGGCAGAGCAGTCTGAACAATGACAGTTGCCAGTCCATCGAGACCGGCAGGCAGCGTTGTCGTTTGTGAGCCCAAGAAAGTGCCCGGGATGCCAGTGAGCAATGTTGTGTACGAAGTTGGGCTTCCCGTTGGCAGAGCTGACTGAATGACAACGGTGGCGAGGCCATCGGGGCCAGCAGGAAGTGTTGATGTCTGTAGGCCCAAGAAAGTTCCTGGAAGACCTGTGAATACAGTTGTGTAGGACACTGGGCTGGCTGTTGGGAGGGCAGTCTGGATGACCACAGTCGCGATTCCGTTGGTACCGGCGGGCAAGGTGGAGGTCTGCGCACCAAGGAAAGTTCCTGGAACGCCCGTGAGCACCGTGGTGTACGATAGAGGGCTTGATGTTGGCAGGGCTGTCTGGATAAGAACGGTTGCCAGACCACCAGGGCCAGCAGGAAGGGTAGTCGTCTGGGCGCCCAAGAAAGTGCCAGGAACGCCGCTGAAGACGGTGGTGTACGAGAGCGGGCTGGCTGTCGGGAGTGCGGTTTGAATGACCACAGTTGCAATGCCGTCGGTTCCGGCTGGCAGAGTTGTTGTCAAAGGCGCGGTGAAAGTGCCAGGAACACCAGAGAACAAGGTCGTGTACGACGTTGGGTTTCCAGTGGGCAGGGCGGTCTGAATGACCACCGTGGCGATGCCGTTAGATCCAACAGGTAAGGTGCTCGTCTGAGCGCCGATGAATGTACCCGGTACACCAGTGAGGACGGTCGTGTAGGACGTAGGGCTTGCAGTCGCAGTTGGAAGCGCCGTTTGAATGAGCACGGTCGCGATGCCATCAAGCCCAGCGGGCAACGTGGTTGTGATGGGCGCGATGAATGTGCCGGGAATGCCAGAGAACAGAGTCGTGTAGGACGTCGGCACACCAGTAGGCAGCGCAGTTTGGATGATCACAGTAGCAACGCCGTCAGGTCCAACTGGAAGAGTGCTGGTCTGCGAGCCCAAGAAGGTTCCAGGGATGCCAGTAAGCAATGTCGTGTACGAGGCGCTTGCTGTTGGGATCGCGCTCTGGACAAGTACGGTAACGAGTCCATCGGGACCGGCAGGAAGCGTGGTTGTCTGAGCTCCGATGAAAGTGCCGGGAACGCCTGTGAAGCGAGTCGTGTAGGAAACACCCGAGGTAGGAAGAGCGCTTTGCACGACAACAGTAGCGAGACCGTCGGGGCCCGCGGGCAAGGTCGTGGTCTGAGGTCCGACGAACGTGCCGGGCACGCCAGAGAAGATGGTGGTGTACGAGACCGGGCTTGCGGTAGGCAGGGCAGTCTGGAGAAGAACGGTTGCGATGCCGTTGGTACCAACAGGCAAAGTCGTCGCCTGGGTTCCGAGGAATGTGCCCGGAATTCCCGTCAAGACCGTAGTGAAAGACACACCAGCAGACGGGACGGCGCTCTGGACGAGGACAGTTGCCAGTCCATCGGGTCCTGCTGGAAGAGTCGATGTCTGAAGACCAGCAAAGGTGCCAATGATGCCCGTGACGATGGTCGTGTACGAGACAGTGACGCTGGGGCTGGACGTGGCCAGAGGAAGGGCAGTCTGGATGAGAACGGTGGCAGATCCATCATTGCCGGCGGGAAGGGTAGTTGTCTGGGTGCCAATAAAGGTTCCAGGAACACCCGTGATGAGAGTGATGTACGAGATACCACCGGTGATCGTCGGTGTCGCAACGGAGCTGCTCGTCTCCGTGAGGGGAACGTAGACAATGACCGTGTTGGGCAGGGTAGGATCGCCGCTGATGCTGACCAGAATTGTGGTGGTGATTCTTGTCGTTCCGGTGTAAGGGGAGAAGATGGTGGTGAGGTCACGGCTGAGAATCGAGTTCGGAGCTGATGTAATGGATGGCAGCGAGGCGGACGTGCCCGTGATCTCCGGGACCTGCACAATGACACTTCCGATGCCAGAGCCCACAGGGGGGATTGAGAAGGTCGTCGCAACAGAGCCGGTGATAGTGAGGGTCGTGTAAGACGCGAGGAGGGCGGTCGGAGTTTGGATGACCACGGTTCCGAGGCCAGTAGGGTCGGCGGCTGGGATGGTAAACGTCGACGCACCTGGGCCACCAGAGGTGATGGTGGTGAATAAGGCTCCCGGGCTGACAGTGGGTGTCTGGATGACGACCGTTCCGAGGCCAGTGGGATCAACAGCTGGAATCGTGAAAGTGGAAGCGACTGGACCACCAGAAGTGAGAGTCGTGAAGACGGCTCCGGGGCTGACGGTGAGGGTCGGTGTCTGGACGACAACCGTGCCAATGCCACCAATGATGTTGGGCAGAATGGTGCTGGTCGCAGCAACCGGTCCTCCCGTGGTGATGGTGGTGAAGATGCCAGATAGAATTGACGTGGGCTCGGAGATGATGACCGAGATGATGCCATCCAGTCCGGTGACCGTAGCTGTGGCCGGGAACGCTCCGGTGCCTGGAACCGTGGTGAAGATGGTCGAGGGAGTGACTCCTGGGGGCAAAGTCGTGCTCGGAAGCTCCACGATGACAGAGACGATTCCACCAAGGCCGCTGGCCGTAGTAGTGGTCGGGAGAGCACCAGTTCCCACAATGGTGGTGAAGACCGTAGTCGGAACCACGAGGCTCTGGCCCGAGGTTGTAGGCTCCAGGAAGATGACGGAAACGACTCCATCCGCTCCCGTGACGGTGGTCGTTGCTGGTAGAGCAGCAGTTCCGGGCAACGTGGTGAAGACCGTAGTCGGAACAGCTCCCGAGGGAAGAGTAGGAGTCTCAAGAATGACAGAGACGATTCCATCTGGGCCGGTGACGGTAGTAGTGGCAGGCAAGACTCCAGTGCCCGGCTGAGTGGTGAAGACCGTAGAGAGGATCTGTCCAAGAGCCGTTGGGGTCTGTACAATGACGGAAATCACGCCATCAGGCCCGGTGATCGTGGTAGTGGCCAAGAGTGAGCCAGTTCCAGGCGCGGTTGTGAAGACCGTGGAAGGAGTATTGGAGGGCAAGCCAGAGGAGACAGTCGGGGTCTGGATGATGACCAGACCAACTCCGGTGGGATCCGTTGGCAAAATAGTCGTCGTTGCCGGAACGAGGCCAGAGTAGCCGCTGGTGACGGTCTGGAAGATGGCAGGAAGGTCAATGATGACTGTCGCTGGGAGGCCGGTGCCGGCGGGAACAATCGTGGTGGTGCCGGCAGATGGTGCGCCAAAGCGAGTTGAAGTAACCTCGGCAAAGACGCCGGGGATATTGACAAGAACCGTGGTTGGATCTCCAGGCTGAGCGGGAGTTTCTGTCTGGATGAGAGTAACGGAGCCGCTGTAAGTATTGAAGACGGTTGTGATGCCACCAATCGTGGGTGACGCCGTGGCCGTGGCCGTGGCCACGCCAGGAACCTGGATCATGATTGTCTGGGCACCATCGGAGCCCATTGGCAGAGTTGAGGTGGCAGTAACACTTAGACCAGGGATCGTCGTCGTGACGAGCACCAAGCGACGGGGGAGACCAAGAAGAACAGTGACCACATCGCCAGTCCTTGACGGAACAAGAGTCGAGATCTGGGTGACGGAGGCCGTGATGAAAGAAGTAATGGTTGTGTACGTAGTGCCGTCCGAGATGGTGAGAGAAGGCGTGCTTGAAGGCACGGCGGTCGGGACTTGGATGAAGACGGTGCCTGGCAGACCAGAGGCAGCGGGAGCGAGCGTCTGGAAGAGAGTTGAGGCGCCAGAGTAGCCAGTCGTGACGGTGATGTACGAGATGATGGACTGAGTGACCGAGATGGCGGGCGTTGTCGTGGCTGTGGCCGTGGCAGTGGGAACCTGGACCACAACGGTCGCAAGTCCATCTGCGCCAGTGACAGAGCCGATGAGGGTCTGAAGAAGCGATCCATCATATCCACTCGTAACAGTCGTGTACGAAACACCGGGCAAAGTGGTCGTGGGCAGAGATGCCGTGCCAGTGGGGATGTTGACGACCACGGTGATGTAGCCGTCAATACCGGGAAGAGAGCCGATGAGAGTCTGGATGAATGAGCCTCCATAGCCGCTGGTGACTGTGGTGTATGAGACCGGAGCCGAGACAGTCGGGCTAGAGGTGATGGAGGCTGTTGGCACCTGGATCACGACCGTGGCGAGGCCATCAGCACCAGTAGCGGTACCGATGAGGGTCTGGAGAAGAGATCCAGCGTAGCCACTTGTGACGGTGGTGTAGGAAAGACCGGAAATCGTTGCAGTCGGGGAAGTGAGTCCCAAAGTTGGAGTCTGGATGATGACCGTCGCCAAGCCGTCTGCACCAGTCTGCGTTCCAATGAGAGTCTGGAGAAGCGAGCCGTCGTAGCCACTTGTCACGGTGGTGTACGAAAGGCCAGGAATAGTGGCAGTCGGCGAGGTAATGGCAATCGTGGGCGTCTGAATGACCACTGTGGCCAGTCCATCAGCTCCGGTCTGCGTTCCAATGAGGGTCTGGAGGAGAGATCCAGCGTAGCCGCTGGTAACCGTGGTATAGGAGAGACCCGGAATGGTGGCCGTGGGTGAAGTGATGGCGATGGTGGGAGTCTGGACGACAACAGTAATAAGACCATCGACACCAGTGACTGAGCCGGTCGATGTGGCAATGACAGATCCATCATATCCAATGCTGACTGTAACAAACACGCCAATGCTTCCCGTGATGGTTGGCAATGAGGCGGCAGTTCCGGTCGGCGATAGAACGACCACAGTGACAAGGCCATCCACTCCGGTGAGAACGCCCGTCTCGGTTGCGAGGACAGATCCAGGGTAGCCGCTGGTGATGGTCGTGTACACAGCTCCAAGGGCGCTGGTGGCACTTGGGACCTGGATGACGACTGTTCCGGGGTCTCCGGGGTTGGCCGGAGGAATGGTTGTTGTCAATGGGCCCAGGCCGGTGAAGCCACCACTGGTGACAGTCACGTACGAGATGGCATCTACGCTGACTGAGCTAGTGGGAACCTGGACAATGACGGTTCCGAGGTCGCCAGGAGCGCCAGGGGCCACGGTAGTGGTCTGGGGAATGAGGCCGGTGTAGGCACTGGTGACCGTGGTATAAGAGATGCTGTCCGTGTTGAGCACGTTGCTGGGAACCTGAATAATGACCGTGGCAAGTCCGGAGGGATCCGTCGCCGCAGGGGGAATGGTCGTGGTCAAGGTGACCGAGCCGTCATAGGTGCTGAAGAGGGTAGTGAAAAAGCCACCCGGCGAAGCGGTAAGACTGCCAGTGAGGAGGCTCGAAGTATCCAAGATGTCAGGAACTTGAATGACAACTGTTCCCAAGCCCGTGGGGTCCGCGGCGGGGATAGTAGTTGTCAAAGTGACTGAGCCAGGGTAGGTACTGAACACCGTGGTGAACAACGCTCCCAGAGCACTCGTGGCCGTGGGGATCACTCCAGTTTCGGGGATCTGAATAATGACTGTGCCGAGACCCGCAGGGTCAGTGGCATCGGGAGGCAGAGTGGTGGCCAAAGTGACAGATCCAGGATAAGTGCTAAAGATGGTGGTGAAGGAAGCAGCCAAAGCACTCGTGGCAGTGGGAATGATTCCTGTATCCGGAATTTGAACAATGACCGTGCCGAGGCCAGCTGGATCTGTGGCAGCAGGAGGCAGAGTCGTGGTGAGCGTGATGGATCCCGGGTAGTTGCTGAAGATGGTGGTGAACGAGGCCGCTAGAGCACCGCCAGAGGAGCTGGAACCGGTGACCTGAGAGTCGGGCACCTGGATAATGACCGTTCCGGTTGCGAGGCCGGCTGGATCCGTGGCAGCAGGAGGGATGGTGGTTGTTAAAGTGACCGATCCTGGGTAGCTGCTCACGATTGTGGTGTAGAAGATGCCAGGCGAAACCAAGAGATCCGAGGTAGTAAGAGGAACCTGCACAACAACAGTACCAATGCTGCCTCCAACCGCGGGATCGATCGTGGTGGTGATCGGAGCAGACCCCGAGAAGAAGCTGACGATCGTCGTGTACGTGATGCTGACGCTGATGGTCGGGCTCGAAGTGGCCAGGACATTGGGCAACTGGACGATGACTGTGCCAATGTTGGCAGGGTCGCCGCTAGCCGGAGCCAGGGTCGTCGTGAGAGGAATGTCGCCAGTGTACGTGCTGAAGATTGTGGTGTAGCTGACGACATCGGAGTTGGCAGACGATGTTGGCAACGCAGTGAGGACCGAGCTGGGCTGAAGAATGACAACAGTGCCAGTCTCACCAGGCGCGCCGGGTGCAATGGTAGAGGTCTGGATAATGGACCCGTCGTACCCACTGAAGATTGTAGTGAAGGGCACATCAGATGTTGCAGTGGCCTCGGGCTCGAAGAAGATGATGGTGCCAACAGTGTCAGTTCCCGAGGGAGCCTGCGTGGAGAAGGATGGCAACAATCCAGTGTACGTGCTGGTGACCGTGGTGTAAGAAGAAACACCAGGGATCTGAACACTCGAGCTAGGAACCAGCAGGATGACGGTGCCAACAGCATCGGTGCCCGCGGGAGCTAGAGTCGAGGTCGCCAGCAACGATCCTGCGTATGTGCTGATGATGGTCGTGTAGGAAACGGTGACGCTGGGCGCAGCGGTGCCCATTGGCTCCAGAATGACGACTGTTCCGGGTCCATCGGTGCCGACCGCTGGGACGGTGGACGTGGCAATGACGGAACCATCATATCCGCTTGTAATGGTCGTGAAAGAGCCAGCGTTGGAAGTCGTGAGAAGCAGAGCGGGATCCAGAATGATGACGGTCGCAGGGTCTCCGGAAACGGCGGGTGGAATCGTAGAGGTCAGAGTCTCGGTTCCGGTGTACGGCCTCGTAATGGTGATGCCCGGGGTGTCGATCGTGATAGGATTGAGAATGATAATAGTTCCCTCGGTATCCGATCCGGTCGGGAAAATGGTCGTCGCGGATGGGATAGCACCCGAGTACGAGCTCGTAATGGTGGTGAAGCTGATGCCCGCACTGCTCGTGGGTACCAGAATGACAACCGCGCCAATTGTCTCCGTGCCCGTGGGCAGAATGGTCGACGTTGAGGGTACAATGCCGGAGTAGCCACTGGTGAGCGTGATGAACTGGCCAGGAGAGGCTCCGAGAGCAGAGCTTGGGACCAGGACGACAACGTCTCCAGGCTCGCCCGAGGGTCCAGCGGGGAGAGTGGTAGTCAAAGTGACTGAGCCATCGTAGGTGCTGGTCAACACGTTGGGCAGAGCCGCGGTGGGAGTAGTCAAAGCATCGGTGATGCTTGGGACCAAAATAACGGTAGCACCAGGCTCTCCCGAAGGACCAACCGGAAGGGTTGTGGTGAGAGTAACCGATCCAGCATAGGTGCTGGTTAGGATGTTCAAGTCTGAAGTAGGCGTGGGAATGGCACCAGTGAGACTTGGCACCAGAACAACAGTCGGACCAGGCTCGCCTGAAAGTCCAGCTGGCAAAGTGGTTGTGAGGGTGACTGAACCGCCGTATGTGCTGGTCAAGAAGCTTCCCAGCGCAGAAGTAGCGCCAGGAACCAAGACAACGGTCGGGCCAGGTTCTCCCGAGGGGCCAACCGGAAGTGTGGTAGTGAGAGTGACGGATCCGTCATACGTGCTAGTAAAGAGGTTGGGCAATGCCGAAGTCAATCCAGGAACCAAAACGACGGTAGGGCCAGGCTCGCCAGATGGACCAGCGGGGAGGGTAGTTGTGAGCGTAATGGATCCATCGTAGGTGCTTGTGAAGAAGTTTGGCAGAGCAGATGTCGGCAAGGCAGATGTGAGACCAGGGACCAAGACCACGGTCGCGCCAGGATCGCCAGACGGGCCAGCGGGGAGCGTCGTGGTGAGAGTCACAGACCCGTCGTAGGTGCTTGTGAAGAAGTTTGGCAGAGCAGATGTCGGCAAGGCAGATGTGAGACCTGGAACCAGAACAACAGTAGGGCCAGGCTCCCCCGATGGGCCAGCAGGGAGTGTGGTGGTGAGCGTGATGGATCCATCGTACGTGCTGGTAAAGAGATTGGGCAACGCCGATGTGGCTCCGGGGACGAGAACAACCGTTGGGCCAGGCTCGCCTGAGGGACCGGCTGGCAAGGTAGTGGTGAGAGTAATGGAGCCATCGTACGTGCTGGTGAATAAGTTCGGCAGGGCAGACGTCGGCAAAGCAGATGTCAAGCCAGGAACCAGGACCACGGTAGGTCCGGGCTCTCCAGATGGACCAGCGGGAAGAGTGGTGGTCAAGGTAATCGAGCCATCGTATGTGCTGGTGAAGAGGGTGGGAAGTCCGCCAACAGAAACGGTTGGGACCAGAATAATGGTCGCACCAGGCTCACCAGAAGGACCGGCAGGAAGCGTAGTCGTGAGAGTGACTGATCCATCATACGTGCTCGTGAAGAGGTTGGGAAGACCACCGACGGAAATCGTCGGGACGAAAATGATGGTGGCTCCAGGCTCGCCAGATGGGCCAGCAGGAAGCGTAGATGTAAGAGTAACTGAGCCGTCGTACGTGCTCGTGAACAAACCACCTGCCACATTGGTGGCGCTTGGAACCAGCACAAGTGTTGGTCCAGCAGGCAGGGTAGTTGTGATAGTGGCAGATCCGTCGTACGTACTGGTCAAGACATTTGGTAAGGCTGGAGATCCAGGAATACTCGGGACCAGGACCACAGTCGCAGGGTCTCCCGAAGGGCCAATGGGCAGAGTGGTAGTCAAGGTGACGGAGCCATCGTACGTGCTTGTCAGCACGTTGGGAAGTGCTGGAGCCGTGATGCCAGGAACCAAAACGACGGCGGTTGGGTCGCCAGAGGGCCCAATCGGCAGCGTCGTTGTGATTGTGACCGAGCCATCGTACGTGGACGTAAGAAGGTTGGGGAGACCGGGCACAGTTGCGCTCGGGGCCACACTCGGCACAAGGACCACCTCTGCGGGATCGCCAGACGGACCAATGGGCAAAGTAGTGGTGATGGTAACGGAACCATCGTACGTAGAAGTGAGAACATTGGGAAGCCCAGTCGCAGTCACGCCTGGGACGGCGCTTGGGACCAGGATCACCGTTGCTGGGTCACCCGAGGGACCGATGGGCAAGGTAGTGGTTAACGTGACGGAACCATCGTAAGTCGAAGTAAGCAAGTTGGGCAGTCCAGGTGCGGTGACACTTGGTACAACACTTGGGACAAGAACCACCTCTGCGGGATCTCCTGAAGGGCCGATCGGAAGCGTGGTGGTGAGAGTGACAGAGCCGTCGTACGTAGAAGTAAGCACATTTGGGAGGTCAGCAACGCCAGACGAGGGCACCAAGACCACGGTAGCCGGATCGCCAGAGGGGCCAATTGGCAAGGTAGTGGTAAGCGTGACCGAGCCGTCATAAGTGCTTGTCAAGATATTCGGAAGACCAGCAACACCCGTGTTGCTCGCGCCAGGGACGAGGATAACCGTGGCCGGATCGCCAGATGAACCGATAGGCAAGGTGGTCGTGAGAGTAACTGATCCATCGTACGTGCTCGTGAGAACATTGGGCAGACCGGCGCCGATCGAAGACGGCACCAGAACAACTGTCGCAGGATCGCCTGAAGGACCAATTGGCAAAGTAGTTGTAAGGGTTACCGATCCGTCATATGTGCTGGTGAGAAGGTTGGGCAAGCCAGCGCCGATCGAAGATGGCACCAAAACAACAGTTGCCGGATCACCAGAAGGACCAATAGGCAGAGTGGTCGTAAGCGTCACAGAGCCATCGTAGGTGCTGGTGAGAATGTTGGGCAGACCACCAGCGCCATCGCTCGTCGCACCAGGCACCAGAATGACCGTAGCCGGATCCCCGGAGGGTCCGATGGGCAACACCGTAGTGACAGTGACTGAGCCGGCATAGGTGCTGGTAAGCACATTGGGCAGGCCGGGAGCATCCGTTATGGAGGCTCCCGGAACCAAGACGATTGTCGCCGGGTCTCCGGAGGGGCCGGCTGGAAGCACAGTGGTAAGAGTGACCGAGCCGCCATATGTGCTCGTGAGGAGAGTTGGCAGTCCTGGGGCATCGGTGATAGGGGCACTGGGGACCAACACAATCGTCGCCGGATCGCCGGAGGGACCAGCTGGAAGGACAGTGGTGAGTGTGACAGAACCGCCATATGTGCTTGTGAGAATGTTGGGCAATCCTGAGGCGTCCGTAGGAGTGACGCCAGGAACCAAGACGATTGTAGTCGGGTCGCCAGAGGGTCCGATCGGAAGTACGGTTGTGAGAGTGACTGAGCCGGCGTAAGTGCTCGTAAGCACATTAGGCAGTGCTGAGGCATCCGTGATAGTGGCTCCGGGCACCAGGATGATGGTGGCGGGATCACCAGAGGGACCAACCGGTAAGACAGTGGTCAAGGTAACAGAGCCAGCGTAGGTGCTCGTCAAAATATTGGGTGACCCAGTTCCAGCCGTGATAGTAGGGACACTGCTGGGTACCAGAATGACCGTAGCCGGATCACCAGACGGCCCAATGGGAAGGGTAGTCGTGAGGGTGACCGAACCACCATAGGTACTGGTGAAAAGGTTGGGGAGGTTGATGCCAATCGAGAGGTCGATGAGCGGAGGAGTGCTTGGCACCAGAATGACGGTGGCAGGATCTCCAGATGGGCCAACTGGCAGCACTGTAGTGATGGTAGATGGACCTCCATAAGTGCTGGTAAATAGACCTGGAAGGTTGATACCAATAGAAATATCGATGAGTGGAGGAACGGCGCTGCTGGGTACCAAGATGATGGTAGCAGGATCTCCAGATGGTCCCAAAGGTAAGACCGTGGTGAGAGTGACTGAACCACCATACGTGCTGGTGAGCACATTGGGTAGACTGGGTGCAGGCGTGATGGTAGGAGTGGCACTCGGGACCAAGATAACAGTAGCCGGGTCACCGGAGGGGCCGAGGGGCAAGACGGTAGTAAGAGTCGCCGAGCCTCCGTATGTGCTCGTAAGCACGTTGGGAAGACCAGGCGCGGGCGTAGTAGATGGTGTACCACCCGGCACTAAGATGATGGTGGCCGGGTCTCCAGACGGGCCAAGAGGCAAAACCGTCGTGAGAGTGACTGAACCATCGTATGTGCTTGTAAGTACGTTGGGAAGACCGGGAGCAGCTGTGATGGAAGGAATCGTGCTCGGGACCAGGATGACAGTCGCCGGATCGCCCGATGGCCCAATGGGGAGAGTGGTTGTGAGAGTGACCGAACCATCGTAGGTGCTGGTAAAGACATTGGGAAGACCAGCGCCAGTTGAACCAGAGCCGGGCACGAGAACAACAGTTGCTGGGTCCCCAGAAGGTCCAATGGGCAAGACGGTAGTAAGAGTAACCGAGCCTCCATATGTGCTTGTAAGCGCATTAGGGAGGCCGGGAACCGCCGTGATAGAAGGAATAGTGCTGGGAACCAACACAACCGTGGCGGGATCACCGGAAGGCCCAATAGGCAGAGTGGTCGTAAGGGTGACTGATCCATCATAAGTGCTTGTAAGCACATTAGGTAGACCGCCATTGTTGGATCCAGAGCTGGGCACCAACACGACTTCTGCTGGATCTCCAGAGGGCCCAATGGGAAGTGTGGTTGTGAGGGTAACTGAGCCACCATAGGTGCTGGTGAAAACATTAGGGAGACCGCCATTGTTCGCTCCAGAACTAGGCACAAGAATGACAGTTGCTGGGTCGCCTGAAGGTCCGATAGGCAGCGTCGTCGTAAGAGTGACTGAGCCTCCATAGGTGCTTGTGAGCACGTTGGGAAGGCCAGCACCATTCGATCCAGAACTGGGCACCAATATGACTGTGGCAGGATCCCCGGAGGGGCCAATTGGCAGAGTTGTCGTGAGAGTCACCGAGCCGTCGTACGTACTGGTAAGAACGTTGGGCAAACCAGGGGCGGCCGTGGAAGTGGGACCACCGGGGACGAGGATCACGGTCGCGATGTCGCCGGATGGTCCAACTGGGAGAGTTGTAGTCAAGGTTACGGAACCTCCGTAGGTGCTCGTCAAGATGTTCGGTAGACCAGGGGCGGCAGTTGAGCTGGGTACCAAAATCACAGTCGCGATATCGCCAGAGGGACCAACGGGTAGCGTGGTAGTCAAAGTGACTGAACCGCCATAGGTGCTGGTCAACACATTGGGCAGACCAGGCGCCGCCGTTTGGCTCGGTACAAGGATCACCGTGACGGGATCTCCAGACGGGCCAACAGGCAAGGCAGTGGTCAACGTGATCGATCCGCCGTAAGTGCTCGTGAGAATATTAGGCAAGCCAGGAGCAGGTGTCGTGCTGGGTACCAGGATGACTGTTGCGATATCGCCTGAAGGTCCGACTGGAAGCGTAGTGGTCAACGTGACTGAGCCACCATAGGTGCTAGTCAAGATATTGGGTAGGCCACCAGCGCCGGTCGGGCTTGGTACCAAAATCACCGTCTCGGGGTCGCCAGAAGGACCAACCGGCAAGACGGTTGTGAGAGTGATTGATCCTCCATACGTAGAAGTGAGGACATTTGGCAAGCCAGGAGCAGGTGTCGCGCTCGGAACCAAGATGACAGTCGCGACATCTCCAGAAGGCCCAACGGGCAAGGTGGTAGTGAGGGTTACCGAGCCACCGTATGTCGATGTCAAGACATTGGGAAGACCAGGAGCGCCAGTCTGGCTGGGCACGAGAATGACCGTGGCAACGTCTCCTGAGGGACCAACAGGCAATGTGGTGGTCAAAGTGACCGAACCTCCGTACGTAGAAGTGAGGATGTTGGGGAGGCCAGGAGCCGCAGTTTGACTGGGGACCAGAACAACAGTGCCAATGGGCAAGGTCGTGGTCAAGGTGACAAATCCATCGTACGTGCTGGTGAAGAGATTGCTTGGGACAGCGGGAGCGGCAGTCTGGCTCGGCACCAGGATAACGGTCGCCGGGTCTCCAGAAGGTCCGACTGGGAGGGTAGTGGTGAGCGTAACCGAGCCGTCGTACGTCGAAGTGAAGATATTGGGCAATGACGGAACCCCAGTATTGGTAGGGATGAGGATGATAGTAGCTCCAGGCTCCCCAGATGGACCGACGGGCAAAGTCGATGTCAGCGTGACTGAGCCATCATAGACACTGGTCAACACTCCGCCAGGGGCAATGGTAGGTGTGGCAATAGGAGAGCTTGGTACGAAGATGACCGTCGCACCGGGCTCGCCGGACGGGCCAGTAGGCAGAACAGTGGTGAGGGTAACCGAGCCTCCGTACGTCTGGGTAAGGATATTGGGAAGACCTGCAGCTGCTGTGCTACCCGGTACCAGAATGACAGTAGCAGGATCACCAGATGGACCGATGGGCAAGGTGGTCGTAAGGGTGACCGATCCGGCATAAGTACTGGTCAAGATGCCTCCAGGGGCAACAGTTGGTGTAGCAATCGGGGAACTTGGCACAAAGATAACAGTTGCACCAGGCTCTCCCGAAGGACCCGTAGGGAGGACAGTTGTCAATGTCACCGATCCACCGTATGTCTGGGTCAGAATGTTGGGTAGACCGGCTGCCCCAGTGCTGCTTGGCACCAATACAACGGTTGCTGGATCGCCAGATGGGCCGATAGGCAAAGTGGTCGTGAGCGTTACCGATCCATCGTACGTGCTGGTCAAAACACCTCCGACAGATGGAACGGACGGAGCAGTGGTCGGGAGGCCAGGAACGAAAATGACCGTAGCTCCAGGCTCACCTGATGGGCCCGTAGGCAGCACAGTCGTCAAGGTCACCGAACCGTCGTATGTCTGAGTAAGGATATTAGGCAGGCCAACGGCTCCGGTGCTGGTCGGCACCAAGATGACGGTCGCTGGGTCGCCAGATGGTCCGATTGGCAAAGTAGTCGTCAAAGTGACTGAACCGCCGTAAGTGCTCGTCAAAACGCCGCCAGCAGATGGAACAGTTGGTGCTGTAGTAGGCAAGCCAGGAACAAAGATGACCGTTGCGCCAGGCTCTCCTGAAGGACCCGTGGGAAGAACAGATGTCAAAGTCACAGATCCACCATAGGTCTGCGTCAGGATGTTTGGAAGGCCTGCCACTGCGGTGCTTGTTGATACCAAGGTGTTGCTTGGTACCAAGACCACAGTCGCTGGGTCACCAGATGGGCCAACCGGCAAAGTAGTCGTGAGCGTGACCGATCCGTCGTACGTGCTTGTCAACACATTGCCGAGAGCCTGAGTAGGGTCAACGGACGAGGCGCCTGGAGCAGAGGGAACGAAGATGACAGTCACACCAGGGTCGCCCGCAGATCCTGTGGGGACAACAGTGGTCAACGTAACGGAGCCGCCGTAGGTCTGGGTCAAGACGTTGGGCAGCGTAGGAGCAGCAGTGATGGTTGGAGTGGCGCTGGGAGCACCAGGTACGAAGATGACCGTAGCGGGATCTCCAGACGGACCAACGGGCAAGACTGATGTCAAAGTGACTGAGCCTCCGTAAGTGCTCGTGAGGATGTTAGGTAGGCCCGCAGCACCAGTGTTGCTAGTGATGCCAGGAGTGCCTGGTACGAAGATGACTGTAGCAAGGTCTCCGGACGGACCAACTGGCAAAACTGAAGTTAAAGTAACGGAGCCTCCGTAAGTGCTGGTCAAAACATTAGGTAGACCAGCCACACCAGAGTTGCTGGTAACACCAGGAGTTCCCGGTACAAAGATGACCGTGGCAGGATCTCCAGATGGGCCAACCGGTAGTACTGAAGTCAAAGTCACCGAACCTCCATAAGTGCTTGTCAGGATGTTGGGGAGACCAGCGGCACCAGTGTTGCTGGTGACGCCAGGGGCACTTGGAATGAAGATGATCGTCTGCGCAGGGTCTCCAGCAGAGCCAGTAGAGATGACGGAAGTCAGAGTAACTGAACCATCATAAATACTGGTCAAAACATTGGGAAGACCTGCAGCACCAGTGTTGCTGGGAACACCAGTCGCGCTTGGCACGAATATAACGGTAGCTGGATCTCCAGATGGACCAACAGGGAGGACCGAAGTCAGAGTCACCGAGCCTCCATAGGTACTTGTCAAGATGTTGGGAAGTCCTGCAGGATCAGTGTTGCTGGGAACAATAGTCACGCCCGGGACGAAGACAATAGTCTGCGGGGGCACGTTGATACCACCATCAGTAACGACCGACGTAAAGGTGACTGAGCCTGCATATGTGCTAGTCTGGATGTTGGGCAAACCCGGAGCAGCAGAGCTACTCGGCACAAAGATGATTGTCTGTGCTGGCTCACCCGATGGCCCGGTTGGTAGGATTGAGGTCAGGGTAACCGAACCACCGTATGTGCTGGTCAAGACATTGGGCAATGAGGGTGCACCGGTGGCGCCAGGGGCGCCGGTGTTGCTCGGGACGAAGATGATTGTCTGGCCGGGGTCTCCGTTGGTACCGGTAGGCAAGACAGAGGTCAACGTAACAGAGCCTCCATACGTGCTAGTCAAGACATTCGGTAGCGCCGGGCTGAGCGTGGCAGTGGGAGTCGGGATGAGAATGATAGTCGCACCCGGCTCGCCGAAGGGCCCAGTGGGCAGCGTGGATGTGAGAGTGACGGAACCGCCATAGAAGCTGGTGAACAGGCCACCGGCAGTCGGCACTGTAGCAGATGGAGTGACTGTGTTACTAGGGAGGAAGATGATTGTGGCACCCGGCTCACCAGAAGGACCCGCAGGTAGAACCGAAGTTGATGGCACCAGTCCGCTGTAGAAGCTGGTGAGAACTCCAGCCAATGCGGTGGTCGCGGGAGTGGGCGCAGCAGTGTTGCTGGGAACGAAGATGACTGTGGCACCAGGCTCTCCAGACGGTCCGACGGGGAGCGTAGAAGTAAGAGTGACTGAACCTCCGTACGTGCTAGTGTAGAGACCGGCAGCCAAAGCCGTTGTAGCGGCGGTTGACAGACTGGTGCTGCTGGGAAGGAAGATGACGGTGCCACCAGGCTCGCCAGAGGGACCTGGAGGCAACACGGATGTCGAAGGCACCAAGCCACTGTAGAAGCTGGTAATAACACCGCCAGCAGTGGGCGTTGCTGCGCCTGCTCCGCTCGTTGCACTTGGGACGAGAACGATGACCGTTCCGGGGTCATTGGAGTTGATCGGGGCGACAGTAGTAGTCAGAGGAACTGAGCCGGTGTAGGTGGACAGGAATGTTGTGAGTACATTGTTGCCAACACCAGGAGCAGCGCCACCAGTCGAGCTCGCAATGTTGCTTGGAACCAAGACAATAAGAGTGCCAGGGTCTCCAGGGTTTGCAGGTGAAGCAATGGCCGTTGAGATAACAGAGCCACCATACGTCGACGTGACAGTAGTAAGAGGAATGGCGGGTGTGGCTGTGGGAGAAGCCAGCACGTTGCTCGGAACGAGAACAACGAGGGTGCCAGTCGAGCCAGTTCCCGATGGGAACACAGTCTGGAATGAGGTGACCGAGCCTCCGTAGGTGGAAGTAAGAGTGGCAAACACCGCACCGGGTGAGGACGTAATAGCTGGAGCACCAGCACTGAGGGTACCAGGGTCGATGGTAGAGCTCGGGACAAGGATGACGAAAGTTCCCTGGGAGTTGGTTCCGGTAGGAAGGATAGTCGAGGTCGACGGCACGGATCCGGTATAGGTGCTGATGAGCGTCGCGAAGTTGGCACCTGGAGTAGTTCCAGGGGTTGCCGTGGCGCTTGGAAGGAGGACGATGACGGTCCCCAAGCTGTCAGTGCCAGCGGGAGCGAGCGTAGTGGTCGATGGAACCGTTCCGGTGTATGTGCTGATGAGAGTCACGAGCGACGCGGGTGCCACAGTCGGAGTTGCAGCTGGCCCTGTGGTTGGAATGTTGATCGCAGGACTTGAAGTCGCAGGATCCTGTCCAATAGTGGGAGTCTGGATAAGAACGAGACCAACGCTGCCGCTGGCAGTAGGCAGGATAGTGGTAATCTGAGTTCCGGTGCCAGAATATCCAGTCTGAACCGTGATGAACGAGAAGCCAGGAGCCGTAGGTGTAGGGGCAACATTCGTAACCGCGGGCGAAGAAGGAGAGAAAGGAGTCTGGATAATGATGGCTCCAACGGTCTCAGTCCCAGATGGGAATACTGTGGCGGTAGTCGGCACAGCTCCCGTGTAGCCAACAGTAGTAGTGAGGAACGAAAGGCCAGACGTGGGAAGAGGTGTCTGGATAATGACAGTTCCTGGATCTCCAGCGTTCACAGGTGCCAAGGTTGTAGTCGCCGGTGCCGAGCCGAAGAATCCACTGGTCAGAGTAACAAACGATGCTGGAGCAACGGTGACCGAAGGAGCAGCAGCAGAAGTAGGTGTCAAGACGATCAAAGTCGTCGGATCGCCGGCGGAAGAGGGAGTCAGCGTAAGAGTGGATGTGGCAGAGCCAGCAAACCCGCTCGTGATGATGACGTTGGGCAAAGCGTTCGTGACGCCGGGCGCCGCGGTTCCAATAGATGGAGTCTGGACAACCACACTTCCAGGGTTGGTGCCCGAGGGAGGGAAAGTGACTGTGGTGGGCAGAGTGCCGGTGCCAACAGTTGTGGTCAGGATGAAGCCGCTGGGCACAGTAGGTGGTGGAGGGTCACCGCTGATGCTGATCAATACAGTCGTGCTGATTCTTGTGGGAGTCTGGATGAGAACGATGCCAACAGAGTTGGTTCCCGTAGGAAGAATCGTCACCGTTGTCGGCTCAGTGCCGGTGAATCCAGTGACAGCCGTGATGAAGCTGTTGGGAGCAACAGCAACGCCAGAGGTAGGAGTCTGGACGACGACAACTCCGGGCTGGGTCCCGGTTGGCGGCAGAGTAAAGGTAGTTGGCGTGGATCCAGTGTAGCCAGTGGTGACAGAGACGAAGCCGGGCGCGGTGACAGCCGGGTCAACGATGGGAGTCGTTGCGCCTCCGGCTCCGGGAGCAGTGGGGGTCTGAACAATCACGGTTCCGATAGTGTTGGTGCCGGAGGGCAAGACAGTAGATGTCGCCGCAACAGGTCCGCCGATGGAAATGGTGATCTGAATGTTCGGCAGACCCAACGAGATGGATGGCACAGTTACAGCACCTCCAGAGAAGATGGGTGTCTGAACGACCACGGTACCAACTGTGTCAGTTCCACCAGGGAAGTAAGTAATCGTAGTCGGCGCAATGCCAGTGAATCCCTGGGTAGTAGTGATGAAGCTATTGGCCGCCACGTTGGTGGCAGAGACCGAGGGATTTGTGAACGGGGTCTGAACGACCACGAGACCAGAGCCACCGGAAGACGGCTGCACGGTAACGGTAGTGGGGAGTGATCCGGTGAAGCCAATCGTCGTGGTCTGAAGAATGTTGACCTCCACAGAAACCGTGGGCGTCTGGATCAAGACGACGCCGAGGGTGTTGGTTCCCGTCGGCGGCAGGGTGGTAGTCTGAGGAACGGATCCGGAGAAGCCCTGGAAGAGAGTCGTGAAGACACCAGCGCCTGGAGCGGCAGTCGCGGCGACAGTCGGTGTCTGGATAATCACGAGGCCCACCGAGTTGGTGCCGGAGGGAGGGAGAATGGCGGTTGTTGCTACCGGTCCGCCCTGGGTCAAGGTGATGAAGGAACCCAGGCTGAGACTGGGGATAGACAGAATGATGGTGGGCAAGTCGATGGAAATGGGTGGGATAGTGAGTCCAGGAAGCACCAAGCCAGAGTTGACTGCGCCTGGAGTGGTAGCAGCACCGGTGGGCAGGGCTGTGAACAAGGACGAAGGCACCTGGACGAGAACGGTGCCAACAGTGTTTGTTCCCGATGGCAACAGCACGTTCGTCTCCACGGCGGGAACGTCAGCCGGTGTTGTGACCGTCACGAAGGGCACACCAGAGGGGAGGTTCAGCTGAGAAGCAGCTGGAGTGGCAGGGGTTTGGACGAGAACAGTTCCTAGAGTGTTTGTTCCCGTGGGAAGCAACACGTTTGTTAGCACAGCGGGGACATCACCAGCAGTAGTTACCGTAACGAATGGCACTCCGGAAGGGAGGGTCAGTTGGGGAGCAGCTGGGTTAGTAGGAGTAAGGACGACAACCGTTCCTGGAGCGCCGCTGACAGCAGGAGGAACGGTAAAGGTCGAGGGCTGAAGGCCGTTGAAGCCGCTCTGGATGGTGGTAAAGGCACCCAGAGCTCCAGGTGCAAGACTGGATGGGACTCCGTTGGCACCAGGATCCTGTGTCTGCGTCTGGCCTGGCTGAGCAGTAGCAGTGGCCAAGGGGTCGCCCAGAACCACAACCGTGCCGACGGTGTTGGTTCCCACAGGAGGGATAGTCAGCGTGGTGGGAGTTGATCCAATAGCTGGTCCGGTGAGGGTGGTGAAGGAACCAGGCAGAGCCCCTTGGGACGCCGCGGCAGTCGCAGCAGCTGGGTCCGGAGTCAACACCAAGGCGACGGGAGCAGTAGATGCAAGGCCCTGTGGGAGGACGGTAACGGTGGTAGGTAGAGAACCGCCAAATCCAGTGGTGATGGTGTTGATCACATTAGGAGCCACCGTCGCAGCAGAGCCCGCCGGGTCAGGCGCAGCAGAACCGGCAGCGTTGGTCAATGGCGTAAGGACCAAGACTTGAGAGGCCGTTTGGGACCCCAGAGGAGGCAATGTGATCGTGGTCGGCACAGATCCGGAGTAGCCGCTAGTGAGGATATTCGGGAGAACAGCTGCGTTCGAAGCCGCCGGGTTTGCGGCGGACACACTGGGGGCTGTAGCTTGCGTAGCAGCGTTCGTGATAGGAGGCACAGCCGTAGTTGCGGCAGGGTTTCCAATGGTGGCTCCCGCGCTGAAGCCGACGGGCAATTGCTCGACGATGGTGGCAACCGGGTTGTCGCCCTGAGAAGGGAGGGTCAAAGTCAACGGATCTGTGCCATTGTAGTCACCTCGGATAGTGACGAGGTTGGCAGCCAAAGCGGCTGGTGCAGTCGTGGCCGGATCATCTCCGCCCAGTCCCACAGCGACTACAATAGTTCCGGGGGCAGAAGCAGAGTTTCCTAACAAGGGCAAGGTGATTGTGGCACCGAGACCGGCAATCGGGAGCGCGGCCAAGGTTCTGAAGAGAGCAGGCCGAGCAGTGATTGAGGGAGTCTGAACAATAATGGTACCCAGAGTCGGGTTGCCGGCGGGAACGATGGTGAGCGAGACTGGAAGGGATCCAGTGTTGCCATCAGTCGTAATGGTCGTAAAAGGGCCGGTGAAGGAGGTGATGGCAGGCTGGACAACAACAGTACCGGTCTGGCCGTTGCCTGAGGGAGGAACAGTGATGGTGACTGGTGATCCTCCCGTGTTACCGCCGGCCGTGATAGTTCGGAAAGGTCCGTTGAAGGCCGTAGGATCCAGGCTTTGAACGAGAACGGTGAAGACGCCGTCCGTCGCACCAGCGGCCGGGGGAATAGTCACAGTCGCGGGAGCATCACCCTGGCCGCCGCCAACGGTAACGGTCGTAAACGGACCAGCAGCGGGGCCTGTGAAGCCATCCGTGGTCTGTACAATAACAGTTCCGGTCTGTCCTTCGGGTGCCGGGATGGAAAGTGTAGTTGGCGTGGCTCCGGCAACGCTGATGGTCTGGAAGATGGCACCAAGAGCTGGTGCCGCAGTCTGTACGATTACCGCACCAACACTGCCAGCCGTCGGGATAAGCGTGAAGGTTCCGGTCTGGCCGTTTTGGCCCTGGATGCTCACGGTTGTGAGCCTAGCAAGGAAATCGGCCTCGCCTCCCGGAGTCTGGATAATCTGAAGCACAGCATCGGCCCCGGTCTGCGTCACACCCCTGTTACCGGGCAATGTGATGGCAGCGGGTGTAACACCGGCGTTACCGAAAACCGTAATGACGTTCTGAGGACCAGTAACAGTGATGGAGAAGCTGTCAAAAGTCTGCGCAAAGACCGTACCCGCAGATCCAGCCGAGTCCACGACGGTGAAGTTCCTGGGCACGCCCGTGGCACCACCAACGTTGACGGTAGCAAAGATCTGAGGCAAAGCCGCAGCACCTCCAGATGCTGTGGGAGCGATTGTGACCGGAACTGATGCAGGGCTGGGTCCGGGGTTGATAACGCTGCTCGCTCCTGGCGCGGACTGCGTGACAAAACCACTCGGGTCGATGGGAGTGCCCAGGACAGTTGCTGTCTCTGGAACACTACTGCCGGTGGTGGCCGCAATGTTGGCAAAAGGGGTGAAGACCAAGTAGGTTCCGACGCCATCAGGACCAGAGGGGAAGATTGTGATTGTGCTTGCCTCAGATCCGGCCTGGCCACCTCTTGTGATGGTGACATAGGCGTTTGGAATTGACGAGACCTGGTCAATGATTCTAAGTGGTCGTATTAGCTTCAATGTCTAGGTATGAACTTTGAGAAGCTCGAATAACTTACCTAGTAACTTGGGACGTAAGTGTTCCTAACTTGTCAATTTCGGTGACCAAGGTCAATGGAGCATTAGTGATGGTGAGGGTCAGCCCATCATCGAGTACCAGGACAGTGTTGACTGGTAAGTAGGCGCTGATGTAGATGGGCTGTCTGACGATGAACTGCACCGGCTGTACTTCGACAGATGTGATGCCGGCAGCACAGACGGGATTATCGGGAAACTGAGGCAACGCGATGGACGGCCAGTACTGGCTGGCAGCGACCAACAGGCCCAGGATGGTGTTGAACTTCATGGTGATGATGAAGCGCCGCTGCGTGATTCCAGCACGATAGTCTCAAGACCGTCCAAGACACCAGGTCTGGAAGCCGAGCAGCAGCAAGATTAACCTTAGTTGTGTAACGTCGTTGTTGCTAATCAGAGCCGATCCTTTTCTTTTGTTTCCTTTCGGAATATTAAGGTATAGTAGAGTCGTACAAGGAAATATCTGGTCGACTATTGACCATGCAGTGGCATCTCTCGAATAAGACGGGAGGCGCCGCTGTTTCAACGGGGGGAGGAAAAAGAGAAAAAAGGCAAACAAGAGAAGCGTTCGAGGCCAAAGTGTGTGGACGCCGTGAAACAAATACTAGATGTGTTTCTTGTACGACGGTCAACGAAGATGGCTCGATTGTTTTAATGGTGAGGTTCTGCTGTAGCTTGTTGCCGTGAGACTGATGCGTTCCTAACCGACAGAATGGGCCGAAGGCGTGTGGAATGTCGTATCCTATGCGGAACGATGGCAGGATCTGTCTTCGGCCCAAGGCGCATGCCAAGCTGGCTCACAATGTCTCTGTGTGATGAGGATGATGGATACTCTACCTCGGACTCGATTGCAACGTCCAAGTAATGACGAGATGTAAAATAGGGCAGATATCGGAAGCGAAGAGAGGCAAATAGAAGAGCGAGAGAAGAGGCGAGAGGGAGGGAGAGATGGCGAGCAAATCGTGGCGAACCTGTTACCGGGCCGAGTGCCTCTCGTCGAGGATACGGCAGAGGCATGAGAGAGAGGCCAGAGCCATCTCATTCGAAAACAGGAGGATTGATGCCTCGCCTGACTTCATGGTTACCTATTCTGTGACTGAATCTGGCCGAGTTCTGCTCGTTCCGGCCAAAGTTGTGATGCTGTTCAGAAGCGATTGGTGAGAATGGGGTCTGGCGTTTTTGGAGATCTAAGACAAGACCGTCAACCGAGAGGGAACTAGAGCCGCTTCGGGAGCCCACGGCGGATTTTCCGCGCTCGGCGTAGGTGAGATGGAGAGCGAGACTGCTGTGATTGCTACTAGGTAACACTCAAGAATGCTCAGAGTTGGCCCATTGTAGACAATCACATTGTTTGTTCGTCGGTAGCGTCAGCGGTGATGGGTGATGTGGTTGAGAGCCACAGGAGCCTAGGTATGCGGGCAAGGTGAGAAAACACATAGCTAAGGTGATTTGACTAGCATTAGACTCCCGTCATCTCAGATTCCGCGCCCGCAGGAACGACGACGGTTGAGACGACAACATCCGCCTGGCCCTATTGCTTTGCGGGTCGTCCGAAAGAGGGGAGGATTTGCTCCCGTTCTTAGTAGCTTTTCTTGCACCTTACCGACCTTACTTATTAGATGCTTAGCAGAAGCTCTCTCCGCTAGCTGCCGCCCAGGTCTAGGATGACTTGCAGCCTCCGTACGAAAGCGTTGCTGGTGGGTCATAGCTATCTGGTCGTTTCTGTGTGTGCTTGTGTGTGTGTGTGTGTGTGGGAGGTCAGTCAGACGCAATAAGGTGCGAGACGGTTCGAGGGAGCTGAAGTCCATCTTGACCAAATCCGTCCAAGCTTCTCCTAACTCCCCAGCAGGAGGCGTTCAATGTAGCCGAACCGTTGCTGGCTGTGGGCTACTTGTTGTGGCAGGCCCTCCTCCTTCGGCCGCCTCTTTCAACCTGCTGTGGTGCCTCTTTGGGAATATTACCGCCACAGCCCGGAAACGAACTGACTGGAAGTGGACGGTGAGTCGGAGGTCCCCCATCCCGAGGGGGTGTGTGCATTACCTAGTCAACTCTGTCGGTCTGGTCTGTGGGAGTGGAGGAGTGAGGAGTTGTTGTCAAATAACACACTAGCAGAGTTAGACCGCAACTAAATACGGGAAGGGAATGCGCGAGATCTACGCAACAGTTGGCGCGGTTTTCCCCGGGGGAGCCGTCGCGGTTGGTCAGCCGTCATCCCGTCTAGTTCCAAGACACACACCCTACAAAGCGCCTAGACCCTTGAACTCAATCTCACCGTTCCCACGGAAGCTTTGACAGTTTTTCTTATTTCCGATCTCTGCTTCTTGTTCGGATCCGGTTACCACTCGCCCTTGACCAGGACGGCCCGTGACAGTTGAAGCTATCCCAACCTGTCTTCCCGAACAAGACAAGCAGTCCTGGGAGACTACAGATACCCTCACACACGACCGCACGCGGACAGTGGCGCTGAGCGAGGCCAGGTATTGGAGTCTCCGGTCAGAAGGCATCACGATCGCAGTCACAAAGACCTTGGCAAGTATGCATTCAGCCGCTCTCTCGAGCAAACCCACTCATACTGTTCCTTTGCAGCTCTATGAGGGCTTTGTGGGAATTGCGTCTGTTCCGGCCGTGAGACTCTCGAGAGGCTCTTGGGGGGGCGTCTTTGCAGTCCCCAAGAGGGTTGGATGAACAATAGAGTTGACGCCCGAGTGGACATGACGCTCCGGAGATGGACGTCAGATGTCGACAAACGGCTTGGCGGCTGGGGTGAAGGCGGCACGGGAGGCATACGATATCGGTCCATCTTGAGATCAAGATGTCCTGATATAGAGTTTGTCCGCATTCCTTCTTCAGCCCGAGATTCCTGCCACTCTTGGACCCTGAATCCAACCGCGACAATCTTGAACCATCCAACATCAGCTCACTCCAGCTCACCTCTCGCCTCTTACAAAAATGTTGCAACTCATCTTTGCATTCGCTGCCGTTGCGGCTGGCGCAAGGGTCTACCGCAGACAAGAAGATTGTTCCTCCACCACAACGTTAGATGCCCTCACCGTTACCAGGGTTGAGCCGATCTCGATCTATATCCTCCCTCAACAACTTGCACCGACAGGGACCAACAATGATCCCTTCACCGCAGTCTATACAACAGTCTATCCCACCTTCTGCCCGGAGTGCTCTCAGGGTCTGAGGCCAGAGACTTACACCATCACCCAGACCTGCACCGGCATCACAGGATGCCAACCATCAGGCAGTGTCCTTCCTCCGGGCTTCACTACAACCCAAGCTACTTGCACCGACTGCCCAACACCATTCAGTGCCGTCCTTACTGTCCCTCAAGCGACTGATGCCGTCGTCACTTCAACCTTCCTCGAGACCATCACAGAGCCTGGCTTGACCACGACGCGCACAATCGTCCAGACCTGCGCGAGCGAGCCTTGCTTGCCTCAAATCACCAATGTCCCTGGACGCGTCTCTACCTTCGATGGGGGTCTCTTTGCCGAGCCGGTTACACAAACAGCCACAGTGTCGGTCTCAGTCACCGTGACCGACAAGTCAACTGCAACCGTCACTGCCGATGCTGATCCATCCTTCCGTCCTGGCAACTTCAACAGCGGTGCCGGACACGTCGTCTCTTCAGACAAGTCTCTTGTTCTTTGCGTCAGCGCATTTGTTCTTTTGTTGATCATGTCTTCATAAGCAAGCGAGCGGGTGGAGCGAGCGGGAAAATGTGTGTGTGCCACAGATTGTGGATGATGTTGATGGCCATTAAGACTCATGAACTCTTAGCCTGCGTATTGCTTCATGTTGCCTCTACTGCTTCTAAGGACAATACTTGATACCAATTGTTTTCAATACGAGCCTTTGAGGGCTTTTACTTTCATTTCCTTGTATAACCTTACTTCGGTCCAGTATATACCCTCATCATAGTACCTTATCCATCAAAGGATCTTCAACATTTGTTCCATTGAGTAGATATTAGATATACACAAAATCAACGAGGTCTGAGTACTTCTTCTTCAAATCAAATTCGATCATAAGATTACTTGCTCCATTTCTTGATCGCGACCATTCTGCGCATTCTTCGTTTTCTTTCACTACCACGACTACTTGGCCTTAGTTGGAGATGAATCTTTGTGCCAATACCACTAATAAAAGTTGTGTAACTATCACCATTCTACATCCGACTCACGAAAAGCCCGCTTTTGAAAGATGCTAGATCCCGCAATATTAGAGTGCGGGTAGCAATCAGATCATGAGGGTCCCCCTGATATTAGTCACATTTTGGGGTTACACGCGAATTCCAGGGTTCGAAAGCCCAGTGCCTCCCCTCCCCCGTCTGGAAGTAATATCCCGCCTTTTGGGGAAAAATAAGAGTGATCTGCGTCTCTTGGCCATGCTTCCCATTGTCAAAAGAAATACGCGTCGTCGGGTCTCGTCTGCATGTCATTTTCTGGACGATCATTTCATCACGGCCCTGTCCATCGGGTCTCGATGTGACGACAAACCCCTGTGACCCCATTGATCCCCCCAGGAACCATCCCGAGATCATGGACATGGGCACATATGGATCCGAGAGTGAGGTTTGACCTCATGCTCGGCTCTCGGATCTGCACAGCTGAACATCTGGGAGTCTTGGAAATGTCTGCATTCGTTGAACTTTGGAAGCCATCTTGAACCCTGCTGACTGGATGTCGCAGCGGCTGGAACTAGGACTGCTGATCATCTGCGATTCCGTCTGGTCTATTCTAAATTCTATCTTTACCCTTCTCTTGCGGGGCCGTTTCGCCGCACTCTTCCTCCTCCCGCGGGACCCCGGCCGTAGCTACACAGGCTATTATCTCACACTTTTTTTCTTGTTTACCGGCCCGTACTCACGGGTAAATCCTCGGCTCGCGCCTGATCTGATGATGTGTCTGGATTGGCGGGAGGGTCAAATTCCGCGCAAGCCACGGATGTCACTAGCCCATTTCTCCTCATTCCATCGACAAAGGCAGCGCTACGCAAACTCTCTGCCCACCCGTTGCGACCAGGCTGGCCAGCACTAAGATCTGCAAATCTCCTCCCGTTGCGTCTGTGCGTGATGCAAGATGGCCCTCTCTTCTCTCTACTTGTTGCCAGCCGGGTGGGATGTGAAATGTGATGAGATGTGACTCGAAACTGTCGCCCCCGGTGACATCTCTGGTGGCATAATTGTGGCATAGATGGTGTATGCCACCCCTCAACGTCGACGCAGAGACGATAGGTACGCCCTGGGTAACTATCTAGGTTAAT